TATGCCAATATATTTTCCAAGTTAGCAATGGTTTAGTATATTTGGGCTTTCTATACTCATTGGTCTCACATAAGATTTGGGCTCTGAAATCCATCAAAGCCCAAAAAGAGAGAGCCCATTAAAAGTGGACTCCACATTAAAGTCGGCCCACTTTAATAAACCCATTAATCTTACTCTTTCATCGAATACGACTTTTCGCAAAATTCCACTAATTTACTCTTTCATCGAATGCGACTTTCGCAAATTTCTATATGTAACAATAAGATATGAAAATCTTTTTACTCACGATAAGTTGAGTATTAGCTTTTCTCTTTTATTTTTTCTGCTACAATCGAGTCGATGGATTTAACACAATAAAAATAAATGGTTCGAGTGATTACTATTTGACTTTGATTTCTTCTAAAAAAAAGTCGAGGTGTTTTAAAATGTTTGTTGACACGAACAAAATTAGAGAAAAACTTTGAAATTATTTCATTATTGAACATAAGAGTTCCAAACAAATTCTCTTTAAAAAGAAAATATTTTATCTCGTGATAGCTTGTTCCAGTATCCTTATGAAACTTTTGTTATTGTTTTAGCCATACGTTGTAGCAATTTACATGGCATTTCATAAGTCATAAATTATTCAATCTCACGGATAAAATATTAGTATGTCAGTTGGCGTTTGTGATAACTTATTAAATTTTAGATCGTATTTATATTATTTTGTGACTAAATAAGTTTTTCGAAGTTGATACGTTACTTTTGATTAAAAATAAGAAAAAGTGCTTTCTGATCTCTTGGGTTTCAAGTAATATAACTTGAGATGCAACCAAATGCAGTCCGCAGACCAAGCAAATTACGTAAGGCCCAAGCCTTGACAACTCATTTGAGATTTAAATACAATAATCTCAAAAATAAATGATTTTAAATTTTTTACGAGATAGAGATAAGATCTACTTATAATTTATCTTTTCAGATTTAATTTGCGAAATATCACTGAATAAATTATTGATATTGAACCTTTAATCAGTGCCGGCTCTTGTCTATAATTTTTTAGGCCACTGTCTTAGGCCCCCAAAAATTGAGGGCCTCAAATTTTTATAAATAAAAAATCATGTTTAATTTTTTCATGAAAAAAATTAATTATTCATAATAAAAAGTGTTTATATATTTTCTTTGTTAACACTCACATTTTTTAAAATCTTTTTAAACTCCTTATGCATTGAATTTCTTCAAATCTTTGATAGTTAGAGTAAAAATATGAATCAATAGTCGAAGTGTTGAACAAAGTAAATTAAAATATTTTTTTATTTCTTCGTAATTTTTATATTACAGTAGGATATACCAAGTTATCAGCTTTTTGAATCAGATTCTATAATTCTAACTCTTATCTTTATTTAAAATTTATCAATTTATTACTTATAGAACTATATTATCGATTCATATAATGATTTTCTCAATAAAATAATATTTTCAATGTCGAATTAATAAAATCTTGCTTAAAAATAATATTTATAAGAAAGATATTAAATAATAATTTACATCTAAAAAATTTAGAAAAACAAATAAATACAGGTAAAATTTATTTAAATTTTAACCCTCTAACTAAAATATCGCTTTAGGCTTTTCGAATTATATTGAGGCGCCCCGACCTTTAATCCCCACATATCTAAGGCTATTTTCGTAAATCACCCCAACATAACAAAAGGATATAATTGTAAGCCGTGACGTCCAAGGTCTTTTCCTAAAGTCGGCAAGGTTTATTTATTTATATATATTTATTTAATGTTATAAAACTTATATAAGGTCCAAAACAACAAATTCCACTTAAAAATATAAATAAATTCTCATAAATATATTTTTTTAATTAATTAAATTTTCTTCTCTTTCCTTAATCAACCAAACTCCAATTCTTGATCAACCAAAACTTCAAACATCAGGTAATATTTGTCTTTTAATTCAGTAATAAAATTTTAATCTTTTAACTTATTTGTGATGTTCAATTTCTTAATTTATTCATTTGATTCTTGGTAGAAAAGGGTTTCCTTGTTTTTGTTTCAATTTTAAAATCTTAGATTTGTTAAAAGGATTATGACATGTTCTTGATGGTTAATCAATTTTTATTTGATTATTTATGTTAATTGGATATCAATCTCTTAGATTTTTATTTTTTTGGTTAAAAGTAAGTTTTACTTGCATAGAAATGACATTTGTATTACTCTCCTCTGTTTATTTCATGTGTCGTAGTTTGATTTGATACAAATTTTATATGTCTGTAGTTAATTTGATACAAAATTTAAGAAAACAAGGAGAATTTCGAGTTTTGGCCGTTGACAGAATTACCTATACATATTGTCGGTCATGGTGATTGGTATCTTATTGAATTAGTGGAGGTGTATGGAAGACGGTTGTCTAAAAATAATATTAATTTAGTTCTGTGAATGTAGATATGATATGTGAGGTTTTTTTTAAAGAGTTAATATATGTAAGTGATAGTTTTTTAAACAGACTAAAAAGGAAAATAAGATGTGTAAATTGAAAAAAGAGAGGGTACATGATGGTAAAAGTTGTTAATTAGAACAGAGGGATTAGCTGCTATATTGAAGAAATTCTTCAGTTTCATTTTGTTTCATGTTTAATACAAACAAAAGGGTAATTGGAAATGATAATTATATGTTATAGAAATTATCTTGATGCTAGTGACGACTTGATACGGACTTGGAATCGCTAACTAGGATGAATAGGCTAATTGTGAATATGATGTCCGAAATAGACCGATTTTAAATAATTCAAAATGGATATCTATGTCTATTTGCCCAAGTCTTGGTCGACAGAGTAATACAGTGTACTGCTTGGAGGTAGAAGGTATCGTGTAATATTAGTTTGTGTATTAGTCGAGTTCCGTGCAATCTGGACCAGATACTAAAGTTTTCGGAACACAAATGGAAGTCTAAGTAACTTATTGTTTCTAATGATCTGCTATGGAAAGCTATGTTTCATTCGTCGAGTTATTATTTATGCAAATCTTATTCGTTTTTTCCTTTTTTTGCAGTAGGTATGGCTGAAGTGTTGGGAATGTTTACAGTACAACAGACCATAGGAAATGTGTTATGCTGCAAATGCGGAATCTCAATGCAGCCAAATGCTGCAAATATGTGCGCTAAATGCTTGCGATCTGAAGTTGATATAACAGAAGACTTACAGAAACATGTAGTGATTATTCATTGCCCTGAATGTGATGGCTATTTGCAGCCTCCAAGGAGTTGGATCAAAGCACAGCTCGAATCGAAGGAGTTACTCACTTTTTGTATCAAGAAGTTGAAGAATTTGAATAAAGTTAAGTTGGTGAATACCGAGTTTATTTGGACTGAGCCTCATTCGAAAAGGATCAAAATTAGGCTGAAAGTCCAAAAAGAGGTACTAAATGGAGCGGTTCTTGAACAATCGTACATTGTCGAGTATGTTGTCCAAGACCAAATGTGTGATCCGTGTTCGAAGGTGCAAGTTAATCCTGATCAATGGGTGGCTGCCGTGCAACTTAGACAGCACGTGTCTCACCGAAGAACGTTCTTCTATTTGGAGCAGCTGATTATTAAGCACGACGCTGCTAATCGTGCTATAAAGATTCAACAGTTGGATCAGGGAATTGATTTCTTCTTTGGTCATAGAAGTCATGCTTTGAAGTTTGTGGATTTTGTCAGTAGGATGGTACTTGTTAGGACCCGAAACGCCAAGCAACTCGCGTCTCATGATCATAAGAGCAATATCGTCAATTATAAGTACACATTCTCTGTAGAAATCAGCCCAGTTTGTCGTGAGGATCTGATATGTCTTCCTCCAAAGGTGGCAGCTAGTTTAGGAAATATCGGTCCTCTAGTGATCTGCACGAAAGTAAGCAACAGTATCTCTCTATTAGATCCGTTCACGTTGAGGCATTGTTTTCTAGATGCTGATCAGTACTGGAGGGCGTCGTTTAAGCCTTTACTATCTAGTAGACAGCTTGTCGAGTATGTGGTTTTAGATGTTGATGTGGTTTCTGAAGAAGTTAATATTGGAGGCTCGAAGTATGTTTTAGCTGATATCCAAGTTGCTCGTGTTTCTGATTTCGGGAAAAATGACACAATATTCTCCGTAAGAACGCATCTAGGCCATCTTCTGGATGCTGGAGACTATGCCCTCGGTTATGATTTATATCGAGCCAATAGTAATGATTTTGAGCTTGAAAAATACAAAGGTCTTGTCCTTCCAGAGGTGATATTGATTAAGAAAAGCTATGAAGAGAAACGTCAAAAGAAACGTGGGAAGCCTCGGTCTTGGAAGCTTAAGTCACTCAATATGGAAATTGATAACTCTGGAAAGGGAAAAGATCAAGAACAAAAGATGAACTCGGAGTATGAGCATTTCTTGAGAGATTTAGAGGAGAATCCTGATATGAGGTTCAACATATCATTGTATCGTGATAAAGAATATCAACGATCAGAAACTACTTCTGTTGCTGATGGAGAAGATGTTCCTTCTATTCCTTTGGAGGAGTTACTTGCTGATATTGATCTGAGCGATATTGATGTTGAAGAAGATGCATAAGGGAGTGAACTGAAGACTCGTGAATTGGGACCGGATCTTGTTGTGCAAGTTAGTAGCTTCGTAAATTTTATGTCCTGTATTAGTAGAATGAATTTGTTGCACCTGAGCCTAGGGTTCGTAAACAGCCTCTCTACCTCCACGAGGTAGTGGTAAGGTCTGCGCTCTGGGTATGTTGCTTTTGATGTATTAATAGAACAAATTCTTGTTATTTCAATACAATGATGTTTTGATGTCTATTTTTATTTTACGCCACATATTCCTTCCTTCCTGAACTAGTATTTGTGTTTCTCATGGAGCTTCACTTCCTCTAAATGCTTGTTTTATTTCGAGTTTGCTTCATATGATTTAGCTGTATTATGGTTATTCAGATTTTATAGACCAAAAGGTAATGTTCAGTTACCACACTTCGACGGAGTACAAACAAGCTAGCAACGAAGGACACAACCTCCACGCTGAATGATATCGGGGGAGAAATGTAACAGGTAACGTTCTATCTACGTTTAGATCTTATTTTTCATAAGATCTGGCTAGTAACTTCCTTTCATACACAAGAATCTCCTTTACAATCAGATACTACTTCATCCTTTGCGTACATTCACACTCTATATTACAGTAATTTTTCCTGTTAGCTATTTCCGTTCTGTACACGTATCTATCTACTCAAAGAATGCACAACCAGTTTATAAGGTGGACAAGACGGTGCGCACCAAGTTTTGGTGTGGTAAAGGTAATGTTTCAAGTGTTTCGAACAAGACAGAAGGGTGCTGTTCCCTTTGAAATTTCTTCAATAGCTTGATAATTCGCCCTCTAGTTTCTTCTGTGGCCAAGTTGTTCCCTGCCCATAAAACCTATAGGAAAAAGGAAATAAAGACAAGAAGTTATGTAATGAAGGGAATCTTAGTGCATATATGGAAACTGCAAATCAAGATTAAGGGTATAGAAAGGGAAAATTACCTCAGCGAAAATTGCTATGATCTTCGGTATATGAAGTCCTCGAGGGCCAATAGCTCTATCCTCAAACCTGAAAGATCAAGGCACAGTGCAAGCAGTGCATAAGATATGTTGAAGTTTTGAGAATCATTGATTACTTAAATGTTATAGGCTACGGGAATACTTACGTCTCTATCATTGAGCAAAGTATTCCATGACTGATTTTAGCCTCATCCAGATTACACCTTATTGGTAAGTGGCTAAGCCAGAGCCACAGGAACTGAGACAAGAATGTTTATAATATGTTAGTTGATAAATGACAATTTTATCAAACTACAGTCAAAAGAAGTCGTAGATTTGTGACAAGTGTTTGTTCATGAAGTTTTAGGAAGCAGTAGTAAGAGAGCACCTCAGAGGTGTAGAAGTCATCTGAGAGAAACTGGTTTAACTTCCCACAGGTAAAAACAGCAGCCTCATAAGCCATGATGTTATACTGGTATTTTGCATTAGGATGCTCCAATGCAGATTTCAAACAATTGAACATTGCTGCAAACGTTAAAAAGCCAAGTCAGTGCTGCTAGTGGAGAAAATAGATACTTGAGCATATTGTAATGCACAAAGCTACCTTCAGCATGAGGTTTAAGGAAATCTGCTCCGAATTCAGCACAAATACCAAATGCAATTGCTACGATCTGAAAAAATAAGGAATGTCAGCTTTGAAGGATATACCAGAGACTTAGTCGGGAAACAAATTGTAAAAGAAGGGGAAAATAGAACCTGTGGAACATCTGGATCCTTGTGATAGTAAACTTTAAACAGGAGAGGTATCCAGTCCTCGTAGTACCTAATTTTTAAAATAGTAATAAAAAATGACGTTCATCTAAGGCAATTGAGCTTATCATGACTAATAAGACATTAAAAATCGCATAAGGGACTTGCTTGAATGCTTCTTCGCGGCACTGCTCAGCAACATCACGGAAGAGGTGCACTACAATTCTTCTTTCTTCTGCTGTTCTATCATCACTCTGTACACAAGTGCGTAGAAAGTGAAAAGGAAATGTGTTAGGCCAAAGAACAATAAAAATTCCCTGTAGAATTAGCAGTTTAATTTAGTTTAGTCACTTTTGATGCTTCATTAAGAGGTCTCATGAATTGAATTATACGTATAGTACATTATGAAGAGAGAGACACTTACCCACATAAGTGATACATAAGGCAAAAGCTTGTCTAAAAGGGGAAAGAATGATGCCTTGAGTTTTTTCACCATAGTTCCAAGGCAAATGCCAATCTGAATTCAAGAAAAAAAAGAAGAAGAAACTGACGAAGGTAAGTCTAAGATCCTGTTAAGTAATATATATATAAGAGGCTCCATTGAGATAAAACACTAACGTTTCTACAGATAGTTAAGTGTTGTTGAGCTTCCTCCTTGAGTAGTTTCTGCTCCCTTGAATCTGTGTGTTCTTTAGCTCTTTTCTCTCTTTTTATTTTGCGGTATGAGCAAGTTAAGAGAACCTTTGATATGCCTTCAACAAAATTTTCAGCTTGCTGTTTACTTAGATCTGAATCCGGTATCTGTTGAGTAAGTACTTGTTAGTGCACAGACAAATAAGCTATACAGAAGACAAAAGAGTTAAATGACCTGAATGATTTCGTTGAATGCCTCCAATAGTCTTGCTTGAACTTGTACCTTTGACTCCTAAAGGGAAAGCAGAACCTCCTTAGGATCGTATCAATATTGATTAATGTTTTGCTGCAACACTAGGTTATTTACCTTCTTTAGCACGTCAAGCAAAGATAGGATGACAGTGTTAGATAGCTTTTGAACTGGGCACTTGCCACAGCCTGTTACAGGAAGCTCTTTCTTCATAGCACAAGAAGCTGAATTTAACAGTAACGGCATTGCTACAAAAGGAGTAAATGCAATTCAGAAAACAATCAGATTTTGTTTATAATGCAGAAATGAATGATTACAAGAAGACTCCTGCAGAAAATTTACCAGAAATGGCAGTCATTCTCACTTCTTCGCTGAATTCGAAGGTAAGATTCGGAACTAAAGCACTAACAACCTGCATAAACGGTAAGTTAGGTAAAAATCTGCATGCTCCTTCGTAAGCCTTGTAAAAGAGATTAGCTATGACTTTTCAGTTTTCTAGACAGACCTCATTAACCCATAAATGCAGCCGTCCCTTTAACTCAGTTGCAAAGCAGCATAGCATATGACAGGCCAAGGTCTTCTCTTCCAGAAGTGCACTTCTTATCCCGATATTTTTATTCCCAGCGGTGACTTCACTATGGACTCTGCATTTGGGCATGAAGATGAATAAAACCCTGTTTTAGCTTACAGAAGATACTTATGTCAGCTGAAGACATCCTCAATAATAAGTTGCTTACTTCACTTTTTTCCTTCAACCAAATTCAGGTTACAAGTTACAACAACAACAATATACCCGGTGTAATCCCAATGGTGCACAAACCTTATCCCTACCTTCGAAGGTAGAGAGGCTGTTTCCAATAGACTGCATTTCAGGTTAGTAATGGAAATTTCTCTGATATTTAAGTGCAGTGACTAATAACCTCATAAAACATCTGTGAAATCTTAAGTGCCTGGAAAGACCAGATGTTTTCCTTTGACTACGAGATGTTGTCTCTAAACAAACAGGCAGATATGCAGAAGTCACTTAACGGATTCACTTTCTCTACTTTCATATGGTATATCATGTAATACATGGTGAAATGAAATTCAAATATACGAAAACTCACAATCATCTATATCTTTACATAGTACTAATACCAACACCATCCATGTAAATTAATTTTCCTACAAGTTGTTATAGGAAGATCCAACCTTTCATCATCATGATCATCTGTATCTGAACTATTGGAAACACTTAGCTGAGCAGATTTTAGCACAATGGGCATGGCAAGACTTAGATAAGGAAGGAAATCTTCCCCCAAGCATTTACATAGTCTACCATATGCCTGTCATAGAATCAAGTGTAAATTAGCCAAAAACTGAAAAGAAAATGGAAGTTGCGCAAAATTCTAAGTTGTATCAACATACCAGTAACGATAATTTCCTCGTTGGATCTTCTATCTCTGTTTGAGTTTCTTGCAGTGAAATGAGTACTGCAATGACCTAAAATGGGACATCACATGAGGTAAATGCATTTTCAGATATGTTGATAGTTTCACATTTACATAATGCCTGCTAAGTGCTAATGGAAAGATATAAATTGTATTGACCTTTTCAACATAATCACGGATTGCTTGATTTCCAAAAGCCATTGTAACCCTGGTAATGCATTCTATGGATTTGGCAAGTAGCGTGCGACTTGTATCTTTAGTAGCAGTTTCCAAGATGACTTTCAGATAAGGCATTATAGAATCATATATGTAAGCAGAGTCTTGCTGCAGTATCCCAGGAAAATGAAGTTTAGAGGCTAAAGTTTCAAGAGATTTAAACAAAAGAAGTTCTTTTTGAACAGCTGAAAGCAAAGTACCTGCGATGAAGTAGCTAAAGAGGCTAAAGTTTCAAGAGCTGCTTCTTTCATCATTGTCATTCCTCTCTAGAATATACAGCAAGTCAAAAACTTATGTCATTTAGGTCTTAGGACGAATGAGTATGTTGTAGATTGGTAAAGGTGACATTACCTGTAGAAACCCGACTAATTTATTCACTATCTTGTGCAGGTAAGGTTTCAAGTCATCTGCACTGCAATTGTGACTGAACAACCATATCACTGAAGCTGCACGTGTCTATACACGAGAGAGAATATCAGTCGTCAACTATATGTGCTTGCAGTGGACATGTCAAGAGTTCAGATGCTCAAAAGCTAACTAATGCAAAGGTCATTAACAGTACCTGCACCCTGGGATTACGAGAATCATCCAATACTTCTAGGAAAGCTGGAAGGAGCTGCCAAAGATATTCGTCTTGATAACGCGGGCTCAGATAGGTTGATAGCTGACCAATTGTACGAATTGTGGCCCAACGTACTCGGGTGTGGCTATCAAACATTAGGTTCACAATAGACTGTCCAAATTTCACCATCTCCGCTAACAGTGCCTGGGAATATCCAAACCAGAAATTATTTCAGTTGCCAGAAGTAATCCTAGAACTTAAGATGTACTACGTACGTAGACCTTACCCCTACCTTACGAGTAAGGTAGAGAGGTTGATTCCCAGTGAGTCCTACCTCTGAGCATCCTTCTGATATCAGTCCAATAGCAGTAACGGCAGCATGACGAATCCTCCAATCTTGATCATCCAAGAACTTGAACAAGCATGCAGGGCAACTAGGTAGAATTGCATCTCCCCCTAATGCAATTGCTAACCTCTCTAAACTCTCCATACCATAACTGCATATACTAAACTCCTCTTCATTTCTGTCATCATCACTAATAGCATTTTCCCAACGAGGGTCTTCTTCAATATGCACCAACATCTTAATCAACACATTAAGCAACTTAGTAACTTCTTCTTTTGGTACTTTCTCCATAATCCCACGCCCAATCTCCCTATTCTCGACTACAGTAACAACAAACTCTATAGCAAGTTGCCTTAACTTCTCCCCTAACTTTTCACACTCAGCCAATTTCACCATAGACTCGAACAAAACACCAATATCATTTTCAAAAAACTCGGTCGCTACACCAGCTAAAACAATCAGATCCTCAAGAACACTACACACAAGGTCCTCCTCATTGGAACATGACATTATCAAAGTCATTAGAACACTCCCTAAAAGACCATAAAACTTGCAATAACTGGCGGGGTTTGACGAATGCAAAATCAATTTCACAGAAGCCCTAGCTGCAATAACCCTAGATCGATGATCTCTGGTTACAGTAGGCATAAGATATGTAAACCCCTCAATCAAACCATCAACATGCGATTGAAAAATCTCAGGACATTTCGGTATCAATTCATCCCATAAAAGCAACACACCCAAATTTCTCTTTGAAACTGAACCCAAATTCTCTAACATATAGTAAAACAAACCATTCCATTCATATTTAGGGAAAAGCAAACCCGCTAGACTCGATGTACAAGAACAACAAGCCTTTAGTGTTTCATAATCGCTTTCACGCCGAACTCTGTTATACAAGTTAATCATCGATTTATTTTGCGTAGTTGATGAAAGTTTGGGCCAAAAGGGTGGCAAAGTATCGCTTAAAAGATTGTAACAGAGAATACCCGTAAGCGATGATGGCTGGCTACGTTGAATTGTTTCGAAAAGTTTCTCAACCAAAGAAGTTGTGTAGTTCTTCTTGGTGTAATCGATGAGATCTTTTGCTGGTTTACGAAGATCATCGTCATCACTGTTGAGGTTGTTTAGTAGTCTGACGAGTGGGTACGATTCAGGTCCGAAGAGAGCTTTTGCTGATTCAGAGTTGATCGCCATTGAAGCAGAGTTTGCCGTTGAAACAGAGCTTGCCATTGAAACAGAGCTTTCCGTTGAAACAGAGATTGCCATTGAAACAGAGCTTGTAGAGAAAGAAGAAAGTTAGTTTTTCTTGTTACAAGAGAAACTGTGGATTCTGGAGGGTTTTAAATAGAATTTGAATATTTTCGTCAAAATTAGTTCATGAAATCATAATTCGTCTGTTCTGTTGAAGTTCGATTGATTATTGTCTTCTATATTTATTAGCTCATTTCATCTCAACTCAGTAAATCGAAAATTGGGTTGATATCTAGCACGAATTGATCAATGAGAAGTTTTGTCAAACTTTTTTTTTTTAGAATTTGATAACATTAAAAATATCAAAACTTTGCGTAAATTATTAGTTTCATCCTCGAATAATTGACAGTCATAGAAACACCCTTTTAATTGTCTAAATAAACTTAGATACGCCCTTGACATTCTACGATCTCTATAGGAGCACGAGACTTCTAATGAAAAATCGAAAGAAGTGTTGAAAACGACTCTAAACTTGTCGAGAATTTAGGGGTGTATTTCACTCATGTTACAAGATTGAGAGTGCATATCTAAATTCAATTAGTTAAATAAAAATTTGATCAATTCATGTCTTCCTTAAGATGGTTAGTAAATATGATCATTATGCGATAACTTGCATAGTAGTTGAAAAAATATACAAGCTCAAATCAATGAATGGCGAACCTATTCAATCAATATTATTATCATTACAAGGTACATCATACTGAAATATTGTTATCAAATGAATTTCAAAAGTAAACTTGAACAATTTTAATTATGTAATTTTTTAATATATTAAGTATTTTACTGGATAAAAGTTTTTTTTAATATGTCACAACACACTTTTATTTGTATAATAATAATAATAATTAAGTAATTATTATTATTATTATTATTATTGTGAGAGGTTAATACATATTTAATATTATACATAAAAAGACGGTTATAAATACAAATATTTATTAGATAATACTTACTGAAAATGTAAAGTACTAATATTGGCAGATATAATGGTGGGTGAAGTACTTTTTATTTTGAGATAAATGAAATCATTATTATTTTATTTAGTAAAAAATTAGAGTAAATGATCAAGAAAAAGTTATATATGTATATACACATTTTGAATCAAAATGATAATCTATCTGTGAATTTATGAATTTTAATATAAATTTTTATACCAATATTAAATTTTAAATCGTGCACATATCTTAAAAATTTCTTTGATCTATAAGTAATACTTTTCCACGTAATAAATTAAAATTATATATATATATATATACTCAATAATGACCAATAAAAAACTGTGTAACCCAATCATCTAAGATACAAACTTCTATCTTGTATACTTATAGTTTGCATGTTTTCATTGCATTTTCTTATAGATAAATATTATTATTCTTTACTCAAAAAAAGAAAAGAGAATATTATTACTTAATTCATCAAAGTATTGTGTTTGACAAAAAATATCCTGTCACATTTTTAATCTTTTAAACAAACCTTTTGCAATTTAAAAGCGAATAATATCCAAAATAATTAAAAAAAAATTCACTTAAGAAAGTTTAAAATATTAAAAAGACAAATGTCGTCTAAATATACAAGCAGGAGAAGAACAATATGACAACTTTGATTTCATAGTTACTGTTCCGAAGGCTTACGATGATAACTAATTTAAAGTTTGTAACTATATCGAGTTGATGAAAATCGAAAACAAATAAATTATAAAGGATAAAAATCTTGTAATGGAAAAAAGAAAGCAAGTGTGAGGAGTTGATGATATGTGTTGCAAAGCAAGTTTGAAGTTCCCTCGTGATGATGAATAAATAATGAATAGAGGGTATATCCCTACGATAAATTGATAATATAAGTGTTTTTTTAGAGGGTACATACCTATGATAAATTGTTATGAATATTTTATTCAAAGATCAAAGAAGAAATGAAATATTTTTTAATCTTAAAACAAAAAAATATTTGATTTTAAGTGTTTATGATTTTTTAAGGGAAAAGGGTCTGATACACCCTTAACTTTGTCATTTGGAGCTGATATACCGCTTTTTATGAAAGTGGCTCATATGTGCCCTTACCGTTATACAAACGGCTCACTTATACTCCTGTCGTTACAAAATGAGCTCACATATGTCCTTCATTTAATGGAAGTTAAAAAAATTAGTTTTAAATTTATTTTTTTACAAAAATATTTAGAGGTACATATGATTCCTTTATCAAAGTTCAAGGTATATTTTAATTTTTTTCATACATAAATTATATTTTGATTTCTTTTATTATAATTATATATTATTTGAGTTTCTTATTCTTATTTTATTTTTTTTCTTTCATTCCTTAGTTTAAAGAAATTTTTTCTTAACTATTTTCTTTGTCTATATTGTAATTTGATTTTTTTATGCGAAGAAAAACATTGGGTCATCTACAATAAGTTTTACAAGAATATTAGTGAAACATAAATAAATTTAATTATCAAAATAATAATTCTTAATTAGTTATTGAAACAAAAAAAAGTCAAAAAGAAATATGTTTGACGAGGATTATACTTACTCATATGGGATTATATTTTTTACAACAAAATAATAAAAAATTAAATTAATTTTTTTTTTCCATTTAAGTTAGAGGAAAAGGGTATATGTGAGCCATTTGTTTATAAGTAGGGGTGTATATGAGCCACTTTCATAACAAGGGGTATATCAGCTCTAAATGACAAAGTTGAGTGTATATCAGACCCTTTTCCCTTTTTAAATTAATTCTTCATTTTACTATAGTTGCTTATCACAAAACTCTTTACAAAAGATATGCAATTGTTTCATTGTCTATATTTATAATTTCACTAAGTGATACATACATTTTGTTCATCAGTTGCGAGAGTTTCTCTCCTATTCAAGGCCTTTACATACAGAGGGATAGCTCGGCTGGTAAAGGCTTGAGAACAAAGTCCTTCAGGTCGCCAGTTTGAGCCCCAGCAGGACACTGGAGGCATTACAAACCGACCGCGTCTCTAGGACCCCGTGGAACTAACCATGGTGCACCCGCCTTGAAAAAGCGGGACCCGATGGGTACAGCTAGTCGGGTTCGCAAAGCGACTCCCGAAAATCACGACAAAAAAAGGCCTTTACATACAGAAACTAAATATTATACATCTTATATATTTAGTTGTGTACTTGATAAGTCAATAAAAATATAAAAACACATCTCTTAGAGTTCAATGAAATAATGTATGTCGCTAAATTGGATTAAATAATGTCTTGGAAAGTCCCTTATTCAAAATCATACGCAGTCGATGATATTACTTGATAGACAAAAGACATATTTTGTTATTTGTGTTTCGATCATTATGGTTAAAATTTTATTTTTTGGGACTTTTAATCTAAAGTTTAAAAGGATAGTTATTTCTTTAATATTTGATTAATATAGATTCTCCTACTTTGAGGGATAATCTATTGACTTCAACACAACATTTGAACCCCAAACGTTTGATTAAGGTTGAGTCTATTGAATGCACATTATTCCTTTAAGGAAATTATTTCATTCTAGGACCCAAGGTTTAAAGGGAATAGATCCTCTCAGAACATATGATTCAATCACTAATGTGTTTTTACAAAAACAATGGTGTCATGAGTAAATCACTCAACAGGAGCAAAGTACACAAATATTTGATTGTGTAGAGGAAGAAGAAGTTTAGAATTTTCGTTGTTTTAAAATGACAGAAAATCACTCTATTTTTAGACAACAAAGGGTAGTGTGAATAAACACTTATTGTGCATTATCGGAAAGGTCACAACTCTTAGGACAAGTCGCATTCTTTCATAAAAGTTACAATCTTTCATAAAAGTTGTAATTTTTCATAAAAGTTGCAACTCTTCATAAAAGTCTCAATTCTTCATAAAAGTCTCAATTCTTCATAAAAGTCACAACTTTTCATAAAAATGTTGTTGATCAAGTCAGCTCTGATGGTGTTGCTTACTTAGAAAATAATTTTGAACATCCTCAGCAGGTTATCTGTGCGATCTCTTCATCAATACAAATGTGTTTCAAAATTATGGAATACATTGATCTCCGATCCTTACTTTAAGATGATGCATTTCAAGCATGCCCAGAACAACCGAAATTCCCAAAAATTTCTTATTACCCATCTGTGCCTGAATGAACGTAGATTCAACAGCTTCTATATCGTTGATTCAAATGGTTGAGGATGCACTAAAACTTGATTGCCCTTTAGGCTCTAAACCACTTTTTAGAGTCATTTGTAGTTGTGATGGCTTTGTTGTTGCCATAGTTTCCGGTGATATGATCGATAAACATCCCATACATTTGCTATGGAACCCTTTCATAAGAGAATCAATAGTACTTCCTGCTCCACAGTCAGAAACATGCGGCTATACCCGTTATGGATTTGGTTATGACTCAACCAGTAGGTGACTATTAAATCCTTAGAATTACATTTTTTTGGGAAGCACTCCTACTTGAGATTTTCTCAACCGGAGTTTGAGTTCGAAATCTAGACCTAGAGATCGACTAATTCATATTCATCTCATAGTCGGAGTTTGAAATTGAGACCTTGGTTTAAAAGATCGACTAATTCATATTCATCATTCGAAAGATGCATTTTTAATCAAAAGATCTTTTTATAGACAAATTCAAAATCGAGATCTCTGGTTGGTCAAGAAGTCATCAAGTTTTGTGGCTATACCATATGCCACCTAATATTTTCTCACCTCTATCTATCTCCACTATAATCAAGATTCATCAGAAAAAAAAAACAAAATCAACAATGTCAAATGATGAAACTCCAATTCGTTTTGGCATCATAGGATGTGCAGGAATTGCAAGAAAAATCTCAAGAGCTATTAATTTATCCCCAAATTGTACTCTTTATGCCCTAGCAAGTCGTTCAATTGAAAAAGCTCACAACTTTGCAATCAAGAACAATTTATTTTCTGATTCTCTGAAGATTTATGGAAATTACAGTGAAATTCTTGATGACCCTTTTGTTGATGCTGTGTATATGCCATTACCCACTACTTTTCATCTTC